CAGAGCTGGGGATCACTACTTCAATACAAGAAGTGCCCAATTAAGACAGAACTAAGGAAATTTTGTTTTAAACAGAAGATCCTGAGGAAAGCTCTTCTACAAAAGTGAGATCAAAGCCTTTGGACACTTGATAAGCAAGGGGGGGGGTGAGGTTATTAAGGATGGGCAGGAATGTAGAGAAATCAAATCCATCAATATTGAATGGCCAAGCAGGTTGGAGAGGCTGACTGGCCTACAGTTGCTCATAATTCGTACATCGAGATGTTAGATGTTGAGAGTTTTGCCATTGAATCGTAACACAGCACTGTAACCACCCTTTAAATTTACCCTCATATGCGCACAGACGTTCAAAGAAATGGAAGAATGTGCTAGGCTACGGAGAGAAGTTGAGAGGTGACACAGACTGAGTTGCTCAATAGGAGAGCGAGTGCAGATATGATGGACTGAATGGTCTCATACCACTCTGTAGCAATGATTCTGACAAAGTGCATGGATTGGGTTGAGGTAGCCATTACCGAACAGATTGCTGGAGCAGACGGGTGGGTCTGAATAAGCCACTGACCATTGAGCCACTTGTTGCAATTTTGCGGAACAATCCTGTGCAGTCAATGATTCTTTAGAAACAACAGTGAGTGAACTGGATCAAAGGTTAACTTCCTCTGCTATTATTGTCCCAAAGTAAAATTCTTCAGTGTTACAAACCCAACCATTGACTTGTTTAAAGCAAACAGGATGTCAATTGTTAAAAGGGTGTACAAAATAATTTATTTTCGCTTTAGGGACTTGGGCATCGCTAGCTAGCCAACATTTCTTGCCCGTCCCTCGTTGCCCTTGAGAAGGTGATGGTGAGCTGCCTTCTTGAACTGCTGCATTCTTCCTGCTGTGGGTTGACCCACAATGCCGTTAGGGAGGGAATTCCAGGATTTTGACCCGGCGACAGTGAAGGAACAGCCATATACTTCCAAGTCAGGATGGTGAGTGGCTTGGAGGGGAACTTGGAGGTGGTGGTGTTCCCATGTATCTGCCGCCCTTGTACTTCTGGATGGAAGTGTTCGTGGATTTGGAAGGTGCTGTCTGAGGATCTCTGCAGTGCGTCTTGTAGATAGTACACACTGCTGCTACTGAGCGTCGGTGGTCGAGCGAGGGGATGTTTGTGAATGTGGTGCCCTCAAGTGGGCTGCTTTATCCCAGATGGTGACAGTTCTTGAGTGTTGTTGGAGCTGCACCCATCCAGGCAAGTGGGGAGTATTCCATCACACTCCTGACTTATCAGTCTTCATCACAAACCAGCCATTTGGCCAACTGAGTTAACTGAACCCAATATCAGTACAGAGTGCTGAGCAAAAGAGTTAATTTCCTCCTGCCAAGTCCTCAATGAAAAGAGGTCCGGAGATGAAATTCTAAATGACAAGATAACACAGTGTGGAGCTGGATGAACACAGCAGGCCAGGCAGCATCAGGGGAGCAGGAAAGTTGACATTTCAGGTCGGGATCCTTCTTCCAAAATGGAGCATTTCTGAAGAAGGGTCCTGACCCGAAATGTCAACTTTCCTGCCCCTCTGATGCTGCCTGGCCTGCTGTGTTCCTCCAGCTCCGCACTGTGTTAACTCTGACTCCAGCATCGGCAGTTCTTAGTGTCTCGAAATTCTAAATGACCATGTCTTTATGAACTGGTCCATGTTAAACAATAAAAGTATGCAGTAACTATAGGGTAGAGATTGTTTAATGAAAGTAATTATCTTTGGCTTGCTTCCACATTGTAGGGATTCTTTCAGCCCAATGAGTCCACACTGACCCCCCCTGAAGATTATCCCACCCCCCACCCTGTAACACTGCGTTTCCCATGGCAAATCCACCTGGTCTGCACACCCCTGGACACTACGGACAATTTAGCAAGGCCAATTCAATAACCTGCATATCTTTGGACTGGTTAAGGTTTCAAAGGTTGCTCAAATGGATAACTTAGCATCAAATGGCTTCACTCAATTCGAGTAAATCTTAACCTGTAATATCTCCATTTTACCAGTGTGTGGCAGTGTTAAGCTTGTTTCCAACACTCTTGTTATGATCCCAGTTGAACTAGTCAGGTCCCAGCATAAAATCATGCTTGCTGGATCATATTTTTGGTTTAGTTAATGAGGTGGCCACTCACTGAAATATATTCAACACGAGGCTGAATTCCTTTAACAACAGAAGTTTATGACACAAATATCGAAGACAGGAGCACACTGTCTCGATGTAGAACACAGTTTGATAAATCTTAAAATACTCAGTTTAAAAAAAAGTCTCAAACTATTTCCCAGTATGGTCATTTTACAGCAATTTGCATACAGAGAAACTACCCCACTATGTAAAATCTTTAAATTCGACTAACCTGATCCTCCCCAGTTCCTGTCTTGTTTTAAATGAATACCCACAAAACCAAGTCTGGCTCTCGTAGTTTCAAAAAGCCTGCTGATTTGTAACCAAACAGTACTTCTGCACTAAGGTAACTGCTTTCCCTGAAATGTCTTATACTCCTATCTTAGTGGCGAAACTATGCTTGCTTCTGAGCCTGTCAGGTCTCCTCCAAACTATCCTAAAATTTTAAATTTCTGGGTTTCCTGATCTAAAATCAATCATTAATTGTCTTGAATCTGGAATGAGTGAATGACTTTCAGTGCTTATCCCACCTGTCATAAACCACCATTAACACTCCTGGGATCCTTGCTTACTGAAGCGTGCTAGATTAGCTCACTATTCCAGAAGGACTTTATTAAGATTCATTTATTGGATGTGGGTTGTTACTGGCTGGACCAGTATTTATTGCCTGTGCGTAGTTACCACGTGAAATGAGTGGCTTGCTAGAGCCATTTCAGAGGGGAGTCAAGGGTCACCCACATTGCTGTGGGTCTGGAACCACATGGAGGCCAGACCAGGTAATGACAGTAGATTTCCCTCCCTAAAGGGCATTACTGAACCAGATAGGTTTTTACAACAAATCAACAATGGCTACATGGTCTCCATTAAACCAGTGTCTAATTCTAGATTTTCATTGATTCAAATTTCACCATCTGCTATGATGGGATTTGAACCTATATTTCCCAGAGCATTAGTCTGGATCTCTGGATTATTAGTTCATCACAATACCATTGTGCCACCATCTCCCACCTCATCTTGTTATTTTTTGCAAAAAAGTTCAGTAAAGTGGCCAACTCATGCCTCTATTTTAAAATCCAAACTCCAATGATGGCATTTATCATATGCCGTACCTCCTATCAAACTGTCTTATTTCCTTTCCAGGTATTTTCCCCTCCCTCTCCTTTCTGGCAATTAACGTTCCATAACAGAAGAAATCTGATATCTTTCACAGTTTCCATCTCTTCATCATCATGAACGACCAACCTCTCTATACCGCCATACTCACTGAGACAATCCACATGACCTCTACATCTTCCCTGAATGGAGACTCACTCAGCCTCCATCCACCAGGATGTGCTACCCACACCCTCCCTGCTCACCTGGATCCTTTTTTTAATTCATTATCAGGCTGAGGGCGTCACTGGCTAGGCAGCATTTATTGTCAATCTCTAATTGCCCAGAGGGCAGTTCAGAGTCAACCACATTGCTGTAGGTCTGGAGTCACATGTAGGCTGGACCAGGTAAGGATGGCAGTTTCCTTCCCTAAAGGACATTAGTGAACCAGATGGATTTTTATGACAATCAACAATGGATTCATGGTCATCATTTGATTCTTAACTCCAGATATTTTATTTTATTGATTTCAAATTCCACCTTCTGCTGCGGCGGGATTCAAACCTGAGTCCCCAGAACATTATCTGGGTCTCTGGATAACAGTCCAGCGATTAATACCACTGGGCCATTGCCTCCCCATTATCCCAAGGTTATCTCAAGAATAACCTTGGTTCTCACTCCGTCAGTGTAGCACTGGACTGTCAGCCTTGATTTAACCCTTGAATGGGACTTGAACCTGGAACCTTCAAGATACGAGTGCTACCAACCAGCAACTGCTGATGAGGGTTCCATAGCATTGCAGAGAGAAGGTTGATAACACCGTAGTTTTTCTTTGTATTTGCTCATAGGATGTGGGCATCACTGGCTGGGCCAATGTTTATTGCCCATCCCTGGTTGACCAGGACGAAGCGGTGGTGAGCTGCCATTTTGAACAAGATGTGGCAGAGAACTTTTTAATGACATTGAAGTTTGTGGCTGAGGGTGAAAAGGTATGTCAGCTTTAGGGTGAGGAGTTGAGTTAGAGGGTCAGCCTTAATCATATCTGCTCGTAAGAGGAATAAGAACAAGAGGGCATAGATTTAAAGTGATGTGCAAAAGAAGCAAGGGTGAAATGTGAAAAAAATCTTTTCCCTCAGCAAGTAGTTAGGGTATGGAATGCACCTCTGGAGATGTGGTGGACTCAGCTTCAATTGAAGCATTTCAAGGGGGGCATTGGAGGGTTATTTGCTTAGAAATGGTGTGCAGAGATGTGGGAAAAAGTCAGGAGACTGGCAGTAGGTGATAGAATCAGTTCAGGTACAATGGGCACAATGATCTCCTTCTGCACTGTAGCAGTGCTATGATTCTGTGGTATTGAATGGCAAAGGGGTGAATGGCCTCATCCAGCTCCTATTCCTTATGTTCTCTTGTGGTCATCCAAACATTGTTCTCTTCTACTCTTCGCCGCTCTCAGTTCCGTGGGCCAGTGGAGTAAAGACGCTAACTGACCTTCCTGACAATGCTTCTGCACACTAACCCCTTTCTGTTTACCCATAATTCTGCAGGAAATCTGCTGGAGACTCCATTTTGGAAGGTACCTTTTGGGCCATTTGTGTGAAAACTCACTTCTGTGCGATCGACACTTGCCTATATCATGCCTGCGCAGTCGTGGAGTGGCATTATCATAAAATAAAGGAACAGTTTTCACCCTGAGACGAAGCAAATTAGGAAATGAGGAAGAAACTTCTTCGTTGTGCAAAATCAACATATACTTTTTTTTTTTGCAGATTGCCAGAAATTACGATTTGCTGATAATTGAAGATGATCCCTATTATTTTCTGCAGTTTGAGAAGGTAAAAGAACTTGCATTTGTAAGGTACCTTTCCTGATCTGAAAACAATCCAAATGGTTTACAGTCAATGAAGTTCTTTTGAATTGTAATTACTGTTGTTATGCAGGCAGCGTCGCACCAATTTGTGCAGAGAAAGCTCCCGCAAACGGCAACATGCTTTTGGTTAAGAGCTAACCATTAGGCAAAGCAGCTTCCACTGGTCTTCTTCAGAAGAGGCCAGAGATTTTTTAGATCCACCCGAGGGGATCAGGGGGTTCCTCAGTTTAAAGCGCCAGCTGAAAGGGGGCGTCTCCAAACAGTGTGACGCTCCTGTCTTGTGAATCCAAGCCTCTGTCTTTATTTTATCTTCTAGTCCCTGGGGAGGAGCTTGAAGCTATGACCTTCTGACTCTGGGATGAGAATACTGCCCCTGAAAATGTGCTGGTAGTAAATAATGTTCCTGAAATGATGGAACTTAGTAACTGTCCACTGCAAATCTAAAGAGGGGCCTACCGTTTCTATGCCAACCAACAAACACCAAACTGCACTAATCCCATTTCCCCTACTATGCCCTGGCATTTTAAGTTCTCATCCAGCTGCTTCTTAAATGTTGTGAGAGTACCTGCCTCCACACCCTCACGGGCAGCACGTTCCATATTTGTACCACCCTCTGGGTGAAAAACATATCTTTCTCAGATCTCCACTAAACCACTTACTCCTCACCTTAAACCTACGCCCTCTGGTCTTAGACATATCTGCCATGGGAAAAAGATTCTCACAATCTACTCTGTCTATTCCTCTCATAATTTTATATCCCTCAATCCGATCCCCCTTTCAGCCTCCTCTGCTCCAGGGAAAACAAACCCAGCCTATCCAGTCTCTCCTCATCACTGAGACTTTTAATCCCAGGTAGCATCCCGGTGAATCTCCTTTGCACCCTCTCCAGCGCAATCACGTCCTTCCGATAGTGTGGTGACCAGAACTGCACACATCTGTGGCCTAACCAATGTTTTATAATGGAGTAAGACAAGACTTCCTTGCCCCTATGTTCTATGCCCTGACTAATGAAGACAAACATCTCATATGCCTTCTTCAGTCTACCTGTGCTGACACCTTCAGGGATCTATGGACTTGTACACCAAGGTCACTTTGTTCCTCAGTACTCCTCAAGGATCAGCCATTCATGTTGTACATTTTTGTGGTACCCAGATAGTATTTGAACCCAGGTCCCAAAGCATCAGCCTGGCCTTCACAATCATATGCCTAGTGAGATTACCACTGCACCCCAGTCTTCCCCTCGTGCTATGTTCTCTTACATGCTGTTAACAGTTGCCGATTATAACCCGGAAGATAGCTTTGAAAGACTGTTGCTGTGGGAACTCATTACAATTAGGAAACAAACCGAGCTCAGTTAAACATTTAGACGAGGCATTACTATGGCAACAAAAGCATCAGCTCATTCATATAAATTTGGAACGGGAACACCAGCCTCGATTTCTGTGCTCAAATCTCTGAACTTTGAACTGACAACTCTGTGACTAAGGGGAGGGACAGTGCTACCCAGTGCTAATGCGCCACATTTGATCTTTCACTGATTGGGTTTCCCTTGCGTTGATTTGCAGCCTTGGGCTCCATCATTCCTTTCGCTAGACATGGACGGGCGTGTTGTAAGGACAGATTCCTTCTCCAAGATCTTGTCTTCAGGGTAAGGGTTTCTTTATTTTATTTAGCCTTTGCTGTTATTGAAGGTACATTGTCGTGCTATTACCTGCTTCAGAATGCCAACCTGTGATGCCAGGTGAGGAGCAGGCAACCTGTACCAGTGGCGCTCTCTGGGCCAGGCTGTGGAAACTGCAGCCTGTAAACCAGTCTGACTTGAATGTGGAGGACACAAGTGGTGACCAGGGCACTCCCCTGATTATGAACGATGTCTCGTTTGAACCAATGGATTGAATTTTTGGGCCTCTCTGGAGTAAGGGATGCACGAGAATACCAGTCTCCACGGTGTGCTCATTCCCACGATGCTGTGCGTTGGCACCAGCAGAGGCAGAATCGACACCAGCAGGGCTAACCCATTGGTGAAGGACTGATTAGGGAGGTCCACTGGGATGTGTCAGTCACTGGCCAGGTTCCAGCAGGAGACTGTTTAAGTGCTTCCTAGTGCAACCTAACCAGAGCTTCATCAACGTTCAGTGGGAAGCCCCTATATTTTAATTTAGTACTTTATTTGTGAAGCACAGGATACCATAGGCTTTGCTAACCACTCTCTCGACATGTCCTGCCACTTTCAAAGATCAATGTACATGCAATTAACCATGTGCCCCGTCACCAACATCCCACTGTGTCAATAAGTCTATTTGCCTCTTCCAATCTTTCTTGTTGCAAAGCTTCATCTCACAAATCCCTGTATTAACTCCATCTGCCCCTTGTCTGCCTATTCTCCCAGCCTCTCTCTGTCCTGTTGCAGGCAATTTGTGTTATCCTCACTGTTTGCCACTGCTCCAAGTTTGGGATCATTGATACATTTTTGAATTTTTCCTTCCTATTGCAAGTTTCCAATCAGTGAAACACAGCAGTCCTAACACTAACTCTTACTAACACTGTCTATCACCACCCAGTCTGAGAAACAACAGTCTTATCAGTTCTGAGGAAGGGTCACCGGACCCAAAACGTTAACTCTGATTTTTTTTTTTCACGGGTGCTGCCAGACCTGCTGAGCTTTTCCAGCAACTTCTGTTTTTGTTCCCGATTTACAGCATCCGCAGTTCTTTCGGTTTTGACAGTCTATTGTAGCTTGCTACGTTCTGTCTTTAAGACACTTTTTTTTTAATTCACTTGGGCAGTGACTTTTCTGTTCCTTACATCTGCATTATTGTGTGATATCTCAAATGTACCTCAAACATCCACTGCGTTCCTTTCATCAACTTTTTCTGTTACTTCATCAAAATGTGTGACTACTTGAGTGCAACCTAACTTTTACAAGTCTGTGCTGGCTCTCTTGAGTGAACACCGGCCTCTCCAAGCACCTGTTTATTTTTTTTCCCCTGATTTATGATCCCAAAAATTTTACCACGTCTGAAGTTAAACTGACTGGCTTGTTGTTGCTAGGACTGTCCCTAGCCCCTTTCTTGAATAAGGCTGCCATTTCAGGGTGGCACGGTGGCTCAGTGGTTAGCCCTGCAGCCTCACAGCACGAGGGACCCAGGTTCAAACCCACCCTCAGGTGATTATATGTGTGGAGTTTGCACAATCTCCCTGTGTCTGTGTGGGTTTCCCCCGGGTGCTCTAGTTTCCTCCCACAGTCCACAGGTGTGCAGGTTAGGTGGACTGGCCATGCTAAATTACCCGTCGTGTCCAGACTTAGGAGGGTTAGCCATTGGAAATGTGGGGATAGGGTTGGGGTGCTCTCTGGAGAGTCAGTATGGGCTGAGTGGCCTGCCTCCACACTGTAGGGATTCTACAATTTTCTGCTCTTCAGTCTTCTGGCATCATCGGTGGGCAATTATAGTATGGAGGGAAGCACTTCTGCTACATCCACCCCTACACCTTCAGCAGCCTGGGATGGAAGCCAAGCAGACCTGGGGACTTAGCCATCCTAAGCAATGTCAAAATTTCCAATATCTCTTCCCTTTTGATTCTCATACCATCCATTGCCTCCAGTTTCTCGACTTGTCCTGATACTAAATCAGATTCTTCTTCCTTAGTAAACATCGATACAAAGGACACATTAAGTATTCTAGTATCTCCAAGCATAGATCATCCTCATTTTCCCTTTCACCTCTTAACACCTGATTACTATTTATATGCTGGTAAATGACTTTTGGCTTCCCCTTTATGTTGGTTGCTACTTTGTTCTCATTCTTTCTTTCCCAGTCTCATTTTCCACTCCCGCTCTCCACCCAACTTAGTGCATTTGGCCTGACTACCCCCTGTAGAGTTTGGTTGACGTGTGTGGCACACCTTTTAACCAAGCCTATATATTGTGCTGGTTGCTGCAGGTTAATGGGAATTTAATGCTTTCTTGCACAGAGACATTAAAGGGAGGAATTCAGGCTAAAGGACTCAAAACAAACAAGAGCTTGTGTGTCTCCAGTAGCCGAGGTTAACCATCTGAGTTTACCATGAAGGACTCTGCTCCTCAACCTGGCCTGAGGTGTGGTGACCCTCAGGTTAAACCATCACCATGTCCCTCTCTCTAATGAGGGAGTAGTGCTATCGTCTGCTAGGATATGGAGACTTTGTCTTTCATGGTAAAACATCCTAAGCCACTTCCATTACAACGTTATCAAACAAAATCGTATATGCAGAGAAATTAGAAGAGACCAAAAGCTTGTCCAAAGAGAGTACATTTTTGAGAAAGAGGGAAGAGCTGGAGAAGTTCAGGGAAGGAATCCTGGCATTTAGGGGTCCTGGTAACTGAAGGTATAACTAATGGTGAATGTGTGCTGGAAGTTGGGGGTACACAGGAGGCCAGGATTGGAATGCAAAAATCTCTGAAGATTGTAGGAGCTTACAGAGATTCTTATTGGAGGAATTCAGAAAGCAGGATGAAATTATACCGAGGCACTTCCAGATAGGCAGCCAATGTAGGTCAACATAGCAAATACTCCTTTTGATGTTGCCCACGTTTCATTTCCAATCTTTGTTGAAGTATTCATTTAATGTCGGATTGCAAACACCGGGCACTGTACTGGACAATTACTGATGTTGGCAGCTGGGCCAAAGGAGCCTTCCTGCTACAGTCCTGATCAGGGCGGAAATGGGAAGGTAGTGAGGACCTACCTGCGCTCCCCACCCCCCAGCCCCCCTCCTGCCTGTTTTAACTGAACCCCCACCACCAAATGCACCACAGGGTGAGAGAAGGAGGAGAACATTAAACTCACCTCCTGCTTCAGTTTTAAACATTTCCAAAAGCAGTCGTTTCTGTTGGAGCAGCTGTTAGAATGCGGCATCAAATCCATTCAAGCAGTCACCCAAAAACATCAGTTGGCAAAGTTTGGAGTTAGAGAATTTGTCAGGGTAGATTTGGCAAGGAATATGAGGTACGATTTGATGAACACCATATCGGAGGAATAACTGGAGCTATGTCCACTGAGCACCTTCATCGGATGAATGTAACTTCTTGCTTTTACACTTTACTAAAAAAAGGAAACATTACTTTTTAAACAAGACAAGGGTAACAAGAATTTGTTCTTGTGTTTTAATAGGCTGAGAGTGGGATTCCTAACTGGTCCCAAACCACTCATAGACCGGGTGGTTTTACATATTCAAGTTTCCACGATGCATACAAGCACCTTCACACAGGTACGTTCATTCTTCACTAATACCAAACATAACAAGATAAGTTTTTGAAATGGCTCTCGGCTGGAAGGGAATATAGCAAGCATCCATTTTCTGTCAACAATCCTAACAAGTTATTTTCTCATCACATGGCTCAGATTCTGACTCTGCAGTATTCATCTGGGGCATATTCTGTGATTATTTTCAGCAGTCTATCAGTCCAGAGACCCAAGTAATGTTCCGGGGACTGGGGTTCGAACCTGGCCATGCCTAATGGTGAAATTACAATTCAGTAAAAACCTGCATATAAAAGTTTAATGACCAAGTATTTATTGTCAGGTAAAGCCCATCTGGTTCATTGATATCCTTTAGGAAGGAAACTGCCACCCTTTGCCTGGTCTGGGTACATGTGACTCCAGACCCACAGCAAATTGGTTGACTCTCAACTGCCTTCTAAATGCCAGTCTAGCCAGTGATACTCATATCCTGTGAATGACTTTTTTTGAATGAAAGACTTTCGCTAGTTTGTATTTAACAGGGAAATGATAACCTGATAAAATTCGAGGATGGAGAGAATTTTTGGAGCTATCTTAATGATTTTGTTGTTAGAGAGAAGAAGGTTAAGAGGTGACTTAATAGAGATATACAAGATGATCAGAGGATTAGATAGGGTGGACAGTGGGAGCCTTTTTCCTCGGATGGTGATGGCTAGCACGAGGGGACATAGCTTTAAATTGAGGGGTGATAGATATAGGACAGATGTCAGAGGTAGGTTCTTTACTCGGAGAGTAGTAAGGGCGTGGAATGCCCTGCCTGCAAAAATAGTAGACTTGCCAACTTTAAGGGCATTTAAATGGTCATTGGATAAACATATGGATGATAATGGAATAGTTTAGGTTAGATGGGCTTCAGATTGGTTTCACAGGTCGGCGCAACATCGAGGGCCGAAGGGGCCTGTACTGCGCTGTAATGTTCTATGTTCTATGTTCTATAACATCTGGAAAAGGCCTTTGAACAGAGGAGAGTGTGAGTCCCTCACACATTGTTCCGCTCCACCGTTTCCCCACAGCCCTTGGCTGTCCTCGCGAATGGAAAGTGGTGTTCTACAGGGCTCAGTGTTGGGACTCCTGCTGTTTGTTTTGTACGTTAGCAATTTGGACTTGAACGTGGGGGACAGAATTGTGAAATTTGCAGACAATACGAAAATCGGCCGTGTAGCGGATAGTGTGGATGATAGCTGTAAGCTGAAAATGTTATAGATTGGTTGGTGGAGTGGGCAGGTAAGTGGCAGATGGAGTTCAGTTCTGAAAAACGTGAGGTAATGCATTTAGGGAGGTCAGTAAAAACTAAACAGTAAAAGGGAATACAAAATAAATGAGATTATACTGAGAACAGAAGATGAAGTGAGAGATCTCGGTGTGCAAGTACACAGGTCCCTAAAGGTAGCAGTACAAGTGGATAAGGTTATAAAGGAAACATACCGAATACTCTCCTTCATTGACAGAGGTATAGAATACAAGAGTAGGGATACAATGATAACACTGTATGAGACACCGGTGTGCCCACAGCTGGAATTCTGGTCACAACGTTACAGGAAAAATGTCATTGCTCTGGATAGAGTGCAGAGAAAATTTACTCAAATCTTGTAGATATGAGGAGAAATCGGAGAGTTGGGGTTGTTTGCCTTGGAGCAGAGAAGGCTGAGGGGTGACATAATTGAAGAATACAAAATTGTGAGGGGTGGAGCTAGAGTACAATGGAAGAACCTGTTTCCCTTGGTAGAGAGTTCAAAAACCAGGGGTCATTGATACAAGCTAAGTGGCAAAGGATTAGAGGGGAATGTAAGGAAAATACAGAGGGTGGTGAGTGTTTGGAATTCGCTGTCTGGGTTGGTGATGGAGACAGAGACCCAAAATTGTCTTCGAAAGTACCTGGATCTGCACCTCAAGCTGCAGGGCTATGGGCTGGGTGCAGAACGATGGGATTAGGAAGGGCATCTGGGTGTCTTTGGGTGAGCATGGACAAGATGGACTGAATAGCTGTATCATTTCTATGGTTTCGAAATGAGAGGGATCATGAATCAGAGACGGTCACAAGAGAGAATGAAGTATCTTCTCCTTGAGTTCTCTGCCTCTGACCCACTGCACCATGACACCCACCAAAGGTATGGCAAGGAGGCAGATCCTGAACCCAACCCAGCCAGCAGTGGATTTGAACCTCACACTGTTGATGCTAATCTGATCTACAGCAGCAGTCCAACAATTTGAACCATATTGAAAGGTTTCCTCTGGTTCTCTGTCCACAGATGCTGCCCAACCTGTCGAGCTTCTCCATCACTTTCTGTCTTTATTTTCTTGAACCTTCCCTGAGAGACAGGTTTGAATAAATAAACTCTGCTATGTTGAAAGTGCACGAGTACTTTAATAAGTATCTGCCTGATTCCACAAGATAGACATTAGAGTTGTCTAAGTCAAATTGCTTAACAAATAACCAATTGAGTTAAATAATCAACTGACACCAGTGATTGAAGTGGTGACTAATCAATCCACCATGAACACATAATCCCTGTTCACAGACCACTCAACCATCTCCTCAACACAGTTCATTTATTTATTTAGTGCATTGTTCAGAGTATTTAAGTCTTCTCATGAGCATATTGTTTTTATAGCAAACATTTTGTGCTAATCACCCGTATTAGTTGGAATCTGTACATTTCCAAGAGGTAGAAATTGCTAAGTTTTAACCCAAGTTTATAAAACAGGATATTGTTAGATTCTCATCTTAGACCATCACTGTAAAAGTGATTGAAATATTTTATATTGACAGTGAGGCACCCAGTAAAAGCAAGCCTGTCTCTTTCTATCCCTCGTGCCATTTCTCAGTTTGCTTTCATTGAGTCCCTGTTGTTGACACACTATCAGAACTCACTCGTTCTCAAATTATACTCAGCATCACCTGGAATGAACAGTGTAAAGGGAAATGCATTTCTCTGGTCACAAACCTGTTATAAACAACAGAAATCCATCAGTGAAGATTACATTTAATGTTGCTAAAAGAATGTGTTGGCTATATTGCTACTAAAATGTACCAAACCGAGGGAATTCCTGTAAAAACATCCACAAAAGACATTTCTAGCCGTTGGTTCTATCAATAAATCAATGTCGTCTCTGGCTCAAGATCATTTGTCAGCATCAGACTTTCACTGTGCCTGTCTGCTTCTCCTCTCTTGCTTGATACTACTATAACTACCCTGACAAACATAGAAACATGGAAAATAGGAGCAGGAGTGGGCCATTCAGCCCTTCGAGCCTGCTCCCCCATTCAGTATGATCGTGGCTAATCATCCAACTCAGTCCCCTGTTCCCACTTACTCCCCTGTCCTTTGATCCCTTTAGCCCGAGAATTTCATCTAACCAAGTTGGATATCCTACCATAATGAGAGTCCTGACTTTTGTTTCACATAAGAACATAAGAACCAGGACCAGGAGTAGGCCATCTGGCCCATTGAACCTGCTGCACCATTAAATAAGATCATGCCTGATCTTTTCGCGGACTCAGGTCCACTTACCCGCCCACTCACCATAACCCTTAATTCCTTTACTGTTCAAAACTCTACACTAGCCTTAAAAACATGCAATGAGATAGCCTCAACTGCTTTATTGAGCAGGGAATTCCACAGATTCACAACCCTTTGGGTGAAGAAGTTCCTCCTCAACTCAGTCTTATGTCTGCTCCCCTTTATTTTGAGGCTATGCTCCCTAGTTATAGTTTTACTCACCAATGGAAACAACCTCCCTGCTTTTATCTTATCTGTTCCGTTCATCATTTTATATGTTTCTATAAGATCCCCCCCCACCGCCACAATTCTTCTAAGTTCCAATGAGTATAGTCCCAGTCTACTCAAGTTCTCCTCATGAACCACCCCTCTCAACTCTGGAATCAATCTAGTGAACCTCCTCTGTACCCCCTCCAGTTCCAATATATCCTTTCTCAAGTAAGGAGACCAAAACTGCATGCAGTACTCCAGGTGTGGCCTCACCAGCACCTTGTACAGCTGTAACATAAGTCTTTACAGGATGTGGGTGCCATTGGCTGTGCCAGCATTTATTGCTCATCACCAATTGCCATGGAGAAGGTACTGGCAAGCTAGCTTCTTGTACTGCTGTAATCTGTGTTATGTAAGCACACCTACTGCGTTGTTGTGGAGAGTGTTCCAGGATTTTGACACAGCCACACTGAGGGAATGGTGATATGTTTCCAGGTTGGGATGGTTCTTCATTCAGGAACTTGCATGCGTCTGTCCTTCTAGATGGTAGATGTTGTACGCTCGGAAACCGCCAATGAAGGAGCTGTTGTGGTGTATCTTGTGGATGGTACGCTACATTGCTTCCACTGTCGGTGGCGCACAGATTAAATGGTGATTGTGGTGGATGGAGTGGTAGTCAAAGGGCTTACTTTGTCCTGGATGGTGTCGAGCTTCATGACTGTGGTTAGAGAAGTATTCATCCAGACAAGTGGTGAGTATTCCATCACACTCCTGACTTGTGCCTTGTAGATGTTGGAGAGGCTTTAGGGAGCCAGGAGGTGAGTTACTTGCTGCAGTATTCCTAGCCTCTGACCTGCTGTTACAACCATATTATTTGTATGGGTAGTGCAGTTCAGTTTCTAGTCAATGGTAACCTCACGGATAGTGCGAGATTCAGCATTGGTCATGCCATTGAATGTCAACGGATGATAGCTCGGATCTCTCTCTTTTTGGAGATGGTTTTTACTTGGCCTGTGCGGTATGAATTTTAATAACCGCTTGTCAGCCCAAGCCTGGATATTGCTGCACCAATAAAAGCAGAAATTGCTGGAAAAGCTCAGCAAGCCTGGCAGCATCTGTGAAGGGAAATCAGAGTTTCAGGTCCTGTGACTCTTCCTCAGAAGTAAGAGTCTGAGAAGAGGTCAACTGACCCAAAACGTTAACTCTGATTTCTCTTCACAGATGCTGCCAGACCTGCTGAATTTTCCCAGCAATTTCTGTTTTTGTTTCTGATTAACAGCATCCATAGTTCTTTTGGTTTTTACCTGGATATTGCTGGTCTTGCTGTGTATTGATACAAAATCCAAGTGTTTGTTTACCTCTGGACTTTACAATCCAAATGCTTTAATAGTTGGCCTCCCAGCTGACACCCAGTCTAAGCTTGAGCTCATCCAAAGCTTGACTGCCACTATCCTTACTAAAACCTTTTACATGTGATCTGTATTTGCTCTTTTCTTAAAAAAAAATCTCACCCTTCTTTGGCTATCCCTGCATTCCCTCACCTCTCTCTACTCCTGTATCATCTTCTATTGCCCTGCCTCCCCCTCTGTAACATCCTTTCTCGCCCTGCAACATCCCATAATTTCTGTGTCCCTCCAATTCCTGACACTTGCACCTTCCGGATTTTCCTTCGCTCCTCTGTTACCAGCCAGCCTTCAGCTGGAAGGTCTGGAATTCCCTCCCTAAATCTTCCCACCTTTATGTCTTTTAAGTCACTCCTTAAAACTTAGCTTAATGATCAAGCCTTCCTTCACACACCTTAAGCTCTTATTATGGAGTTGGGGCTCATGTTTTATTTGATTATTCCCATTACTTTGTTTCCCTTTTGGCAGACAATTTACTAAAGATTAAATATAAATGCAACTTGCTTTTTCATCCCCTTTGGCAGATTCCCTCATCTATTATTTATCCCTTTTTTTCTTTATTCATTCACGGGATGAGGGCATCGCTGGCTAAGCAGCATTTATTGCCCATCCCTAATTACCCAGAGGGCAGTTCAGAGTCAACCACATTGCTGTGTGTCTGGAGCCACATGTAGGCCAGACCAGGTAAGGATGGCAGTTTCCTTCCCTAAAGGGCATTAGTGAGCCAGTTGGATCTTTCTGACAATTGGCAATGAATTCATGGTCATCATTAGATTCTTAATTCCAGGTATTTATTGAATTCAGATTTCACCATCTGCCATGGCAGGATTTGAACTTGGGTCCCCAGGACATTACCTGGGGTTCTGGAATAACAGTTCAGTGATAATACCATTAGGCCATTGCCTCCCCGTGTATTCTTGAGGTCATGTAATTATAAATCCAAATCTTTTTATTTCGTTCTTATTCTGTGCCAAGTTTGGGTGTCTTTAATGGGCATCCCCTAAGCGCTAATCAATTATAGCCTTATTAGACAGTATAATGGATCATTTATGTGAGTGACTCAAACCCCACCTTTCTAGGAGTAGGCCATTCAGCCCCTCAAGCCTGCTGAAATTCAGTACCAAACAGGGTCAATCTCATCTCAAACTCACCTCCACTTTCCTGCCCGCTCTTCATCACACTTTAATTCGTTAGTCATTAACAATCTGTCTCTTCCTTAACTTTATTCAGTGTCCTCACCACACTCTGGGGTAGTGAATTCCACAGATTCACGACGCTTTGAGAAAAGTAACTCCTCCTCATCTTTGCTTTAAATCTGCCGCCCCTTAGCCTAAAACTAATGACCTCTGGTTCCAGATTGCCCCACAAGGGAATACATTCTCTCTGCGTCTACTTTATCAATCCCCTTTTGCTTCTTATATTCCTCAATTAGATCTCCTTCCTTTGTTCTAAACAGCAGTGAGTATAGGCCTAAACAACTCAATCTTTCCTCATATTATTCTTCAAACCCTTGGCTACTGGACTTCTTTACCATTTGGCCTATCTTCCCTTCTCATATTGTTTCATTAGTTGCCATATGTTGCACTGTCCAATCTTTACCCCTGAGTTGAGTATTTCATTGCAGTGTTTACATGGACTGACTAAAGTCAAGGCTGGTTGAACTGAAGGACACCTTGGGTTAAATGAGGGAATTATGTCACATCTCTCTGAGTCAAATTTGTGAGATAATTAGAAGCTAAGCATTTAGTTCATTTGTCAGCAAGAACGTCAACACAGCTCTGTGGCTGGGCCTCTTCTGGAAAAGTTGAATCAGCTAAATAAGTACGTTTGGAATCTTTCCAGTGTCTGTCGGCGAAGGTCAAATACTTAATCAGCTTTCTAAAAAGAAGCAGACATCGAGGCTGAAGAATCAAATCGGCTTTTCCTATCCACACTTGCTTTCCCTATCAGAAATTCAACAATATGTATATTTATATAGCAACTTTAGTACTGTAAGGTGCCCTAAGGCACTTCACAGGGGCTTTATCAGACGAAATCCAACACCAAAGAGATTCTAAGACAGAGGACTAAAAGATTGGATGAAAAGGTAGGCCTTAAGGAGGACTTAGAGGACAAAGGTGAGGCAGAGGGAGCTGAGGGGTTCGGGGCCTTGTTAAGTAAAGCCACCACTGGTGGACTGAGCATAATTAATAATCAATCGTCTTAAGAGACCACTACCCACAAGTTCCCTTCCCCTGTCACTGATCCTTCAGTGTCGCTGGGTCAAAATCCTGGAAGTCTCTCCCTAACATTATTATGGGTGACCCCACATCAAATGAACTGTAGAAGGAATCCCACCAGGACCTTCTCAAGGACAGCTAGTGAAGGTCATCGTACTCCAGACAGCGATGCCAATATCACATGAACAAAAAACAATTAATGCAAGTTCTTTCTTTTTGTAGAAGGTGAAAATCTTAAGTTCTTCAATTTTCTTTGGCTATTTCAATACCTTGAGCCTAATCTTAACATGACCCATCACTGTTACTGATTTGAAATCCTGAAATTCTCTTCATAATGGCATTGTAGGTGTAGCTACACCAAATGGACTGTAGCAGTTCAAGAAGGCAGCTCAGGAAGGGTGAGGAAGGGTCACCGGACCCAAAACATTAACTCTAATTTTTCTCTAAGGTTTTGGAGTAGATGTGTAGCTTAAAAAGGGGACCAACACACTGCAGCAACATGGAACTATGCCAAGGGGAAGAAGAATACCTCTTCCAAGTATTCAAGGATAATGGATATCCAAAGAACTGGGTCAGGAGATGCCTACAGGAACAGCATCAGAAAGAGTCTACACGCCTCAACACACTCATCACACTACCCTACATCAGGAACATGTCAGAACTCACCACAAGACTTCTACGACCACTGGGCATCAGAGTGGCACACAAGCCCACATCAACCCTACAACAAGTGCTCATCCGAACTAAAGACCCGCTCCCTGCCATGGACAGGACCAATGTCATCTACAAGATCCCCTGCAGAGACTGCGAGAAACACTACATCGCACAAACAGGAAGGAAACTAACAACAAGAGTACATGAACACCAACTGGCTACAAAAAGACACGACCAATACTCACTCATCTCAATCCACATGGACAAGGAGAACCACCAATTCGACTGGGACAACACAAAAATCCTGGGACAGGCTAGGCAGAGAAAAGCACAAGAATTCCTGGAAGCATGGCACTCCACTAAGCATGCTATTAATAAACACATTGAACTCGACCCCATATACATTCCACTACGAAGGAAACCTGGAAGTGAGGCAATCCATCTCAACGGACCCCAGAGTTTAAAAACCAGGCGGGAAAACACACCGACGCTTCATCAGAGGCTGCACTGAGGATGTTACCAAGCACGGTAACGAAACATCTGCGGAACAACAAACCAGCTCAGCGAGCTAACCAACCTCTAATTTTTCTTCACAGATGCTGCCAGATCTGCTGAGCTTTACCACCAACCTCTGTTTTTGTTCTCCATTGGTCATATTTTATCAGGAAATGTTGAAGAGGCAGCTTTGAATTTATAACCTAAATCTGCCAGAAGTAAATGAGCTTGTAAAACAAACACAAACGTAATGTAACAGAGAGAATTCAAGGATTGTGTTCAACTCCAGATATTGCTTCTTGTTTAAATATGACAAAGTGTGTACAGTGAATGTCTCTTCCATTTCTAGCTCATGGTTGCACAGCTACTGAAACAGTGGGGACAAGATGGCTTCTTGAAGCATATCGACAGGTAAAACTTGCAACATAACATTTATCCCTTTTTCTCTCTGGGTCTCTCTAAGTCATGGGATATGAGCAGTGAATTACCCAGGGCTTTATCACAGAATGTTATGTCTCAGTAGGAAGCCAGTCAGCTCAATGTGTCTCCACTGGCTCTTCAGACGAGCATCATTACCTACTGCCAATCTCCTACCTTTTTCCCGTATCCTTGCACATCTTTTTTTAACCAAATAAGCACCCAATATCCTCCTGAATACCTCAATTGAACCTGCCTCCACCACATTTCCAAGCAGTGCATTCCTCTGCTATTTTTGCACATTACTTTCAAGCTATGCTCTCTCCTTGTTCCTTTTACAAGCAGGAACAGTTTCTTCTCGTCTCAATCCAGCCCACACATGATTTCGAAAACGTCTACCAAATCTCCTCTCAGCTTTCTTCTCTCCAAGAAGAAGAGTCCCAACTTCTTCAATCTACCCTCATCACTGAAGTTTCTCATTCCTGGAACCATTCTCATAAATCGTTTCTGCTCTCTCTCCAACACGTTCACGTCCTTCCTACAACATGGCACCTATAACTATACACAATATTCCAGGGGAGGCCTAACAAATATCTTAGGTAAGTTCAACATCACTTCCCTGCTCTTGTATGCCCCTATTAATAATTATGTTTCACTGAACTTCCTTCCAGATTAGAATCATAGAATCCCTACAGTGTGGAAACAGGTCCTTCGGCCCAACAAGTCCACACCGACCCTCAGAGCATCCCACCTAGACCCATCCCGCTATAACCCATCTAATCTACACATCCCTGGACACTATGGGCAATTTAGCATGGCCAAACCACCTAGCCTGCACATCTTTGGACTGTGGGAGGAAACCGGAGCACCCAGAGGAAACCCACACAGACACGGGGGGGAATGTACAAACTCCACACAGTCACCCGAGGTTGGAATCAAACCCAGTTCCCTGGCGCTGTGAGGCAGCAGTGCTAACCACTGTGCCACCGTGCCGTTAAAGGCAAAAGTTGTTCATTTTTGAACAGGTAAAGTTTTTAAGAGGAGATTTGACTGAGGGTTCCAAAATCGTGAATGGTTTTTGATGCAGTAAATAAAGAGAAATCCGTTGCAGATGGATTGGTAATCAGACCATGATACAGATTAAAGTCAATGTGTGCGAATGTGGAGGTGTAGTGCTAACATCACTGCACTAATAACCTAGAACCTCAGGTTAATGTTCCCATGACAGAGGCTTGTATCCCACCAAGTGGGGAGGCAATAGTCTATTGGTATTATCGCTGGACTGTTATTCCAGAGACCCAGGTCATATCTCTTGGGTTTGGATCCTGCTACAGACAGATGGTGGAATTTGAACCCAATAACAAACTGGAAATACGAGTCTGATGATGACCACGAATAGATTGTCAGGACAAATCTATTTTGTCCCCTTATGTCCTTCAGGGAAGGAAATCTGCCGTCCTTCCCTGAAATGGCCTTACAAACCACTCCGTTCCAGGACAATTTGGCATGAAGTGCAAATGTTGGCCTCACGCGAAAATAAACATCGGAAGAGCTGAGTGAAGTATTCTGTGACTGGGGTGTCACTGCTTTATTGGAAACGGAGATAGTGCTCATTGAAAGTGATTGTTAAAACAAGGTGTACCTGTTGGCTTGACCAGAGTGCTACAGCCCTAAAGCAAAATCAAAATGGTTTGCAAATATGAGAAGAGAAGAAAAGCTTTTCTACACAGTGAGTAGTTTATGTGTGGAGTGCACTGCCTGGAAATATGGTGGAGGCAGGTTCAATGAAGCACTCAAGAGGGGCATTGAATAATTGCCTCTTTTCAAATAATGTGCAAGGATCATGAGCCAAAGGCAAGGGAATGGGACTGAGTCAGAATGTTTGCTGGAGAGCCAGTATAGAGGTGATGCGCTAAATGGCCACACTTTTGTGATTCTGTCAACCTGCCAAACCCGCTTCATCAGAATTTTACAAACCTCTTCCATCTAGAAGTACAAGGGCAGCAAATATATAGAAACTCCCTTCTTTACGCCAATGAGGCCATTTCTACGCTACATGGATTGCAGTGTCATAGAGTCATACAGCACAGAAACAGACCCTTCAACCCAACTCGTCCATGCTGACCAGGCTTCCCAAACTAAACTAGTCCTATTTGCCTGCACTTGACCCATGTCACTCTAAACGTTTCCTATTTGCTTTCAAGAAGGCAACTCACCTCCACTTTCTCATGGGCAGCTAGGGACGGGCAATAATTGCTGGCCGAGCCAGTTATGCCCAGATTCCACAAAGGAATTTTTTTTTAAAAGCCACCTTACACAAGCTCCCCTCCAAGCCACTCACCATCTGGGCTCACACTATGTATTTCACTGTGGCTGGGTCAAAAATCCTGGGTCTGTAGGTGTCCTGACAACCCCATCACTGAAGAGCTTCACCACCCTGTGTTACCAGTGTAGGTAAGAGCCCATACCCAAAACTACTCGTCTACAGAGAACTGCTGCTGTAGTCAGGACCATGCAGTCTGGTTGGTGAGGTCTGGGGAGAGGTTCCTTCAGCACCCAGGAAGCTTGCTTTAATAAAGATGGGTCACGTTGTGGACAGTGCGGAGGGCTGTTCTAGGTTACAAAGGAACATTGATAGAATGCAGAGCTGGGCTGAGAAGTGGCAGATGGAGTTTAACCCTGAAAAGTGTGAGGTGATTCATTTTGGAAGGACAAACTTGAAAGCAGAATACAGGGTTAACGGAAAGATTCTTGGCAGTGTGGAGGAGCAGAGGGATCTTGGGGTTCATGTTCACAGTTCCCTGAGAGCTGCCACCCAGGTGGATAGAGTTGTTAAGAAGGCGTATGGTGTGTTAGCTTTCATTAATAGAGGGATTGAGTTCAAGAGCTGTGAAGTTATGCTCCAGCTATACAAAAGCCTGGTTCGGCCACATCTGGAGTATTGTGTCCAGTTCTGGTCACCTCATTACAGGAAAGATGTGGAAGCATTGGAAAAGGTGCAGAGGAGATTTACCAGGATGTTGCCTGGAATAGAGTGAAGGTCTTACGAGGAAAGGTTGAGAGAGCTAGGGCTTTTCTCTTTCGAATGACAAAGGATGAGACGTGACTTGATAGAGGTGTACAAAATGATCAGAGGTATAGATAGAGTAGACAGCCGGAGACTTTTTCCTAGGGTGGAGGTAGCTTTTACAAGGGGACATAGTTTTAAAGTGAAAGGTGGTAGATATCGGGGAGACGTCAGAGATAGGTTCTTTACTCAGAGAGTGGTAGGGGCGTGGAATGCATTGCCGGAGAGGGTAGTGGAGTCGGCCTCATTAGGGGCATTTAAGCGGCTATTAGATAGGCATATGGATGATAGTGTAAGGTAGCAGTGGAGGTTAGGTAGACCTTAGGTTTCGGGTAAAAGTTCGGCACAACATCGTGGGCCAAAGGGCCTGTACTGTGCTGTACTGTTCTATGTTCTATATGTTCTAAAGGAAACTTGCTTTCGAGCCCTTCTCCTAAAACTAAGAGAGTGGGCAGGGTTGGAGGTTCTGTGTTGGGATTTATTAATGGAGGGTGTCATGCCTGTTTGCAGGGGTCTGTGTTTAACTGAGCAGGCGGGAGAGGAAGGTGGCTTTCCTGCAGAGTAAGACCAGAACTAATTGCCCTACCTTGAGGAAATGCACACAGAATGGAGATATCTGGAGACAGACTTTATTTTTCTATATTTACAGTATCTTGCTTTTGCTCTCATTCTCTCATAATCCTTCAACCTCCGTCCTGTGCTTTCTCTTCTTCCAGTCTGTTTGCCTTCTCTCTCTTGTTTTTTGCATTCTCTCTCTCTCTTTGTTCACTTTCTCTCTCTCTCTGTCTGTCTTTCTGTCTGCCTCTTTCTCTCACATACACGCGTTCTCTCTATCTGGGTGGCTGTCTCTTTCCCTCTCTCTGTTTCTCCCTTTCCATCTCTGTCTCTCTTGCTCTCTCTCTCTCTCTCTCTCTCTGTGCCTTTCTCTCTGCCTCTGTCTCTTTCTGAGTATATATCTGGTTCTCAGCTTTTCTCTTTTTTGTTTTCGATGTTTCGTACTCAGGAGATGAATATACTGCTGATCATAAAGCCAAGGAACATGACCCTCCTGATGTGGAACCAGAGATTTTGAATAATCAGGTGCCAGTGTAGGACAGGGAGGCAACTGGGTTACCACTGGTGATAAACAAATGTCGGACTGGTGTCTGGAGACACAGCTAATTTTAAGCTGGCCGAGACCTGTGTTATACATTCTTTTTCTTTATTCATTCATGAGATGTAGGTGTCTCTGGCTGAGCCAGTGTTTATTGCCTATCCCTAGTTGCCCTTGTGAAGGTAGTAGCAAGGTGTCTTCTCAAACTAAGGAGGGAATTCCAGGATTTTAACCCAGTGACAGTGCGCGAACGGCGATATATTTCCAAGTCAGGATGTTGAGCGACTTGGAGGGGAACTTGCAGGTGCTGGGTGTCCCTTGTATCTGCTGCCCTTGTCCTTCTAGATGGAAGTGATCATGGCTTTGGAAGATGCTGTTGGAACATTTCTAAGAGCATGATATTTAGGAGATGAGATTAATAGACATCTTCTTTGCTAATTCCCAGGGTGAAACCCAGTACAGATTGACTGGGGTGAAATTAGACTTGGAGGATAATGAAGATTTCACAGAGTCAGATTGGTTACAGTGCAGGAGAAGGCCATTCACCCTCTGTCTCTATGCTAGCCCTCTAGTCAGTCCATCTGGAACCATTCCTCTCCCCACCCTTTCCCACAGCCCTGCACAGCCTTCCTTTTCAGATTGTTATCCAAATCTCCAGAGAAGGCCTTAACTGAATCTGTGTCTAACACACTGTCAGGCAGTGCATTCTGATCCTAGTCACTCACTGCCTGAAAAGGTTTTCCTTCACGTTGCTGTTGCTTCTTTGCCAATTTCCTTCAATCTCTGCTTTCATATGCCTGGTCAGCTTTTCTTCCACTGCACCTGATTCCTTCAGCATTTCAATCTTTCTATCTTTATTCCTGTCCGTTCCTATCCCTCTCTCTCGTTATCCCTCTCTCTCACTCTCTCTCCCTATATCTATCGTTCTCTGTCTCCCTTGCTCCCTGTCTTTCTTTCTGCCACTCACTTTCTCTCTCTATCTCTCTTCCTTTTTCTGTCCCTCTCTCACTCTCTCTGTCCGTCTCTGTCTGTTGCATCCCTCTCTCTTCCTCTTTCTGTCCCATTTCTCTCTTTGTCCCGATACTGTCTCTCGCTCTCTCTCTCTCTCCCTCTCTCTCTTTCTCAGTCCCATCTCTCTCTCTCTCTCCCTCTCCCTCCCATTTCTCTCTCACTCTCTGCCCCTGTCTTTCTCTATCCTTCTCTCTCTGCCTGATCTGCCTCTCTCTGTGAATCAGGTTTATCCCAAATCCTGGTATGTGTGAACCCCAGCAGAAAGTCCCTTCTTATTTGGTGCAAATTGTCAATTGCGCTGAAGCTCACAGAAGGAATGGTTAATCTGAAATTCATTCAAGATCATGGCAACCAGAATTATGTATTGTTTTAAAATACTTGAGTGAGGAGCTGTATTAGTATTGTGGACAATGAAAGTTATTTGTGACAAAATGTCTACGAACTTGACGACTGCTGAAAAAAAGAGACTTGCTGTCGAAGGTTTCTATCCTGCAGTTCTCAGGACAGATGCAAGAATGCCAAGTTTCAAAAGAAGTAGTAAATTATAACCGTAGAGAAAAAAAGCATGCTGATTGGTTGGCATATCCAGTCTGATTGGTTAGGCATTGCTATGGAGAATGCACCAGGAAATACTTGCCCCGTATCCTTCTGTTAAAAGTGGAAAAAAAAATGCAAATCCTCAGACATGTTCCTTTTTCCTGAAGGCACATGAATTGATGTAGCTCCTAGCAAGGGATTAACTGAACAGCAAATACCAAGAGGTTTTGAATTTCTTCCTTTCCATTCAAATTACAACAGGGTGGCACAGTTTTACACCAAGCAGCGAGATGCCATGCACAAGTCTGCAGAAAGATGGCTGAAAGGTAAAGCTGGCAAATTAAACTATCATCGTTAAAAAAAATGGAATGAACATTGACACAGCTCCTTGTAATAGAGGAAGTGCTTCACCAAGTACAATCAGTATAAGATTCAGAGTTAGAGCCAAACAAACAGGACTATCTTTTTAAACTGGGTCCAACACCAGGGATTGTTTTATGAGCAAAGGCTAAACAGGGTGGCACTGTATTTGCTGGAGTTTAGAAGAATGAGAGGTGAATGCCATTGAAACATATTGGATTTTTAAAGGGCTTTACAGGGTAAATGCTGAGAGGATGTTTCTCCTCATGGGAGAGTCTAGGAGCAGAGGGCACAGTTTCAGAATTCAGGGGTGCCAATGTAAGACAGAAACAGACCCTTCGGTTCACGCGTCCATGCTGACCAGATATAAATCTAGTCCCATTTGCCAGCATTTGGCCCATATCCCTCTAAACCCTTCCTATTCATATACCCATCCAGATGCCTTTTAAATGTTGTAATTGTATCAGCCTCCACCACTTCCTCTGGCAGCTCATGCCATACACGCACCACCCTCTGAACCACCCTTCTTTTCTGAGGGTTGAGAGACTTTGGAATTCCTTGCCACAGAGAGTTGTGAGGACAGTCATAGATAGTCACTGAGTGTAGAAACAGGCCTTTTGGCCCATCATGTCTAGGCTGACCACCAAACACCAAAATAGAGTCCTCTTGTATGAGATAGATTCTAGATCAGTTGGGCAATCAAGGGTTGCAGGGAAAAGGCAGCAAAGTGGAAGTGAGGGATGGGCAATAAATGCTGGCCTAGCCAGTGACGCCCTCATCGCATGAATGAATAATAAAAAAAATCGAATTGGCAGCCAACCTATTGAATGGTGGACCAGGCTCGAGGGGCCGAATGGCCTACTCCCATTCCTGTTTCTTCTGGTCCTCCCATTTGCAGAAGTGGGAAGGGACACATCTCTTGCTTAAAGGAGAACCAACACTCCAATGTCAATTAAGCTGCTAAAATTTGATGGATATCTCCATCAACTTAGATTTACAATTGATTGTTTCAGATGTCGGTGAACAACTTCTGTCCCTTCAGTGCCCACTATGTTAGAGAAAGACTGAATGTTCCGTGTACCAATGGACACTGTGTGATCCCACTCCAGGGAAACCCAGGTGGGAGCATTAAAACAGAAGAGAAGCCATATGGTGTAGCAGCAGGAGTAGGCCATTCAGCCCGTCGAGTCTGCTCTGCCATTCAATGAGATCACTGGTGATCTGATCATCCTCAACTCCATTTTCCCTCCATTCGCCCCGCCCCCATTTTCCCCATCATCCTTAATTCCCTTCCTGATTAAAAATCAATCTCAGCCTCGAACATACTTAACACCCCAACCTCAACAGCCCTCAGTGGGAAAGAATTCAATACATTCACTCCCCTTTGGGAGAAAAAAATCCTCCTCAAATCTGTCTTAAATGTGTGAACTCAGTTGTAAATCTGTGGAAATCTTTGTCACAGACAGCTGTCAAGGCTGGGTCATTAAATATATTCAAGGCTGAGACAGACATGTATTTAATCAGTAAGGGAATCAAAAGGTTACGGGGAAAAGGCAGAAAATGAAGATTATTAGATCAGCCATGATCTTCCTATATAGTGCAGCAAACTCAATGGGCTGAAAGACCTACTTCTGTTCCTACGTCTCATGGTTTTGTGGCCTCACATAATCGTTCACGTAGTTGGAGATTTGAAGAGATTAAAAACCAGATCACACTGACTGTCGGCCAGCATGTTGGGACTGAACGGTCCAATTACTTGTCGGAGCAAATTACTGCAGATTGTGGAATCTGTACTGAAAACAAAAATTGCTGGAAATCACTTGTTACATTCTCTGTCACCGTGTCCTGTCTTCCCTTCCCCCACCCCAGTGGTACTGTCTGTTCTTTCCAGTCTGGCAGTTAGACACGCCATTGTTCTACCATTCTCACATTCCAGTCACTTAATCTGAATTTTAAAACATCCTTTCTCCCCAGCACTCCACACCATCCCCCACACACACTTATAGCATAAATGCTGCCCTCTCTACACTTCAAGTCATCTCTGACGAAGAGTCATCTAGACTCGAAATGTTGGCTTGCTCTCTCCACATGGATGCTGTCTGACCCGCTGTGATCTCCAGCATTTTTTGTTTTCAGGTCCAATTACTTGACCCGTCTCATTGTCAGACTGAATTCTGAAGAAAACTTGCTTCTCAGCAATTATGAAATAACAAGGTGTAGAGCTAGATGAACACAGCAGGCCAAGCAGCATCAGAGGAGCAGGAAAGCTGACGTTTCGGGTCTGTACCCTTGTTCAGAAAAAAAAATGTTTTCTGAAGAA